ACTTTTAATTTGGCCATCCCATTAACAACCGGTGATAGGTGAAGGGGTCGTTGTGAGTTTAACTGAAAGAAAAACACAATGATTTACCTTTCTCTTTATCTTAAGTGTGTTAAGAGCTCTGGTGAGAAGAAGCTGCTAAGCAACAACTAATACATGGTGAGAATATGTGTAACATCTAGAAAGTAACTCCTGGATTATAGCGTGGCTGTCTTTGTTTCCTGGGAGCTTAATCTCAGAGGGCTCTGATCTGTGAGAAAGCAGTTTTCATGAGAAACTGCCTTGTTATTTGTACAACCTTCGAAACCTCCTCAGCATAATGCTAAGAAATACAGGCCAATTTACAGCTAAAATCCATCAACAAACCACTCATTAGTATACAATTATTTTAAGGAATAGTATAATATTTTGGGAAAATAGCTTGCTCACTTTTTGCTGACAATCATGAGATAATTGATACCACTCTTGCAGAATATGGAGCTATTGCTAGGAGTCAGTTAGCTTATATTAGCATAAATAGGGGAAACAGGCCAACAGTAAGCCTGGCTCTGTCCAAAGCTAACACTTTATAGCCTATAATCTTTAGAGAGCTGTTTGGATCACACAAATATCCAACCCAGTCTCACGGCATTTCGTGTTGTAGTCACGACATTTAATCTATTGATTCACCAACACGATTTTCCCTTTTTTTTTTCGTGTCATACAGAACGATTTTAAAAGCAATGTATTTCTATTGGTAGTATGTTTCGTGCCTGCACCACGCTTTTTTGCCCGGTGGTCTTGGAAGACCGGAAGCTGTGTGGTTCATAAAAACATTTTCTTACTCAATATCAAGCCACGATTATTGTTTTTATTTTAAATCGTATAATGTCGGACTTTGTTTGCCGTCCATGAGGAAAATAAATGGGGCTCAGAGCCTCAGAATACTGAAATCTGTATTTTTAAATCTTTTTTTCCTTCTAATTTATTATTCTTTTCTAAATAACACACTGTTATTTACTCAACAATAACACACAATTATCCTTGTCTTTATTATTTGTTTAATTCTATAATATCTGGCTTTTTTGCCGTCCGTCAGGAACTGAATTTCCAAATAAAGTCACCGGAAATGGTTTAAGCTCGGTGATTGGATGTTTTAGCTGCAATGCACGTTGGGATATGGTGTTAATGCGATATGAAATAGAGTGGCGAAGTCCCTCCCCTTCCGGTGGACCTCCATGGGACCTTATTTCGGAAAAATTATGTATTGAAGTCAATGGAGAGAGAAAGATTATCTTTCGATCCCGTTTGAATTGTGCCACGAATTACACATATGATGTTTGTCAATTTAAAAGATAATTTTGCAAGTCAAAAAAAAAAAAACTGTGAAGTAACACATTTGTTTGTGTGAAACGCTCAATGAACTACATCTCTGGTCAACAACACACGTCACCAAGATGGCCGTCACTACTGTCTTGTCAACAAAACGATTGACTATCCTCACATCACCACAATGAAACACGTCCTGTAGAATGTCATGCAAAGCTGCCTGCCTGCCTTTGATTCTCTCTGAACTGCCTGGTCGTTTTAATGTTTAATGTCAACCATTTGTGCAGATAGCATGAAGTAGAGAAGATCGCTGATGCTAACGTTAGCGTTAGCATTTCTCCCCCAGGCTTAAATGGTGTATTATAGAATGATCACACCGGTGACAGTACTATTCAAAGGGTTCACGAAATATGACTACTACTCTTACTGTTTAACATATTGGGTTACTTAATGTTACTTCATGTTAAGGCTAATAAAAATGACAAGGCTGTAATGCTAACTAACGTGCTAGCTACTAGCTAGGTAGCTAACTTGATCAAGCCACTCCTGGTCCTTTCATCAGACGGGAAGCAAAAGAACGAGCAAGACCCATTGCTGGTATAATAACAACCTGGTACTAAGCACACAGGCATCTTGTTAAAGTTATCTTATCTTAGCCAGCGCCATATAGATAGATTATATCTATATTGCGCTGATCTTAGGTATCTGAATGGTGGAGGAAAACAATTGTGACATCCCTTACGCGACTCTGGGATTTGTAGTCTTTCTAGTTACGTATTTTTCATAGTCTTATATTTCAACAGTTTTACGACAAACTGTGACTTTTTTGACATGGAAATTATTTTTTAAGATTGACAAACATCATATGTGTAATTCATGGCACAATTCAAACGGGATCGAAAGATACCTTTTCTCTCCCCATTGACTTCAATGCATAATTTTTCCGAAATAAGGTCCCATTACCCGGAAGTAAGTGGGCGTGACTTCGCCACTCTATAACTACCAACAGAATTGCGTTGCCAGGCAACAGCTTGGGGTGAAAACAGTATTTCCGGTCTCGAAGTTTGCATAGTAATCTGCAGTACTCAATACTCATCAACTAAAAACATCAGTTTATCCTTGTTAAATACACAACATTGATTGGTTTAAATTGTGTACAATGCTTTTGTGTTTTCCCCCTTCGATTCGGAGAAACAAATAGTTTTTTCGCTGTTTAGGATGGCCGAAGACACTACACTACCCATAATCCTCAGATATCGTTTGGGACTACAGTCCCTTTGCTTGACAAACCCCGTGATTAGTCCTCAAGCTCTGCGATTGGATGTTGGAGTGGCAGTGCGCCAAGGTTACGCCGAGCATCAAACAGCTCTATGAAATGGAATGAAACCACGGCAGACTATCCAAAACTGGACTCGAACGCCCCCCCAGAACTACACATGGTGGCTATTGTGTTTCGCAACATGTTCTATGGCACGTCTCTACTGGGAATTGTAGTTTTAAAATACGTTTTTCCCACAATTAGAAGTTGCCAGTATTAAACTGTGTACACCCCTGGAGGTTTAGGGGATAAGAAACACATTGGTGTTATCAAATTTAAAACATATAATTAATAAATGGGTGAAAATTGCTTGTGTCCATAATGGGCAGCATTAATATATACCCACATGACAGCTCATTGTTACTTTGTAATTCTACTCAACTACAATTCAGAGGTTAACCTTAAAAAACTGTCAAGTTTAAAGTGTTAACACAACAAATTATACTTTGTATTATTAGTGTAGGACACTTATGTATGTATAACATCTGAAGATGTGTAGTTGTATTCATGTTTTCACATAATTTTACAGGATATTGCTATATTATTTCACATGTTTTACTTCTACACATTAATATCTGATTTGTAAAACGTCACAGACAGAAAGGTATATCCGTCATTTAATGGTAAGCTATTGAAATTCTGATTCCATAGATGTGTCTCCCATCACCCAAAACCCCTGACTATTCTCTCAACTCAGTATTTACATTCTTATATTCAAAGAAAATCAGTAATATCTTTAAGAACTACAAGTCCCTGTCTATCAGCTGTGCACCGTTATGGTGTAAATATAACCTATCTACCAATTGGATCAAATATAAAAGTCAGCAGAATTACTATTGATACTGCAAGGAGACGTATTGTGTGAAGAGAAATTTAAGATGTTGTTTAATTGCTGATATATTTATGATCCACGTCACATATTCAGTTTCGGTGGCAATTCTTCCAGTTTGTCCAAAGGTCTTCTAATCAGGGCTCTATACATAGAGAACTACGGCAGATATGTAATATTTAATGCAGCCGAACCGTGTATTACAATGCCGTTATGTGATGACTTTCAAAGAGAAAAGCAAGCACACTCGGAATAAAGTATTATTTTCTTTAAATGTTTTCAGATTTCATATCGCATAAACACCATATCCCAACGTGCATTGCAGCTAAAACATCTTGAGGATCTTGGGTAATCAGTTCAGTGGGTGTGTATCGCCTACGTCTGTTTCCGGTGACTTTATTTTGAAATTCAGTTCCTGACGGACGGCAAAAAAGCCTGAGATTATATAATTAAACAAATAAATAAAAACAAGGATAATTGTGTGTTATTGTTGAGTAAACAAATTAGAAGGAAAAAAATATTTAAAAAATACAGATTTCAGTATTCTGAGGCTCTGAGCCCCATTTCTTTTCCTCATGGACGGCAAAAAAAGTCAGACATTATACGATTTAAAATAAAAACAATAATCGTGGCTTGATATTGAGTAAGAAAATGTTTTTATGAACCACACAGCTTCCGGTCTTCCAAGACCCCACCGGACAAAAAGACGTGGTGCAGGCACGAAACATACTAATAGAAATACATTGCTTTTAAAATCGTTCTGTGTGACACGAATAAAAGGGGAAAATCATGTTGGTGAACATGAATCAATAGATTAAATGTCGTAACTATAACACGAAATGCCGTGAGACTGGGTTGAAATATCATGCTGTATGTGTATTTTTAACTTACCCCTTCATATAAATCCAGGGGAACATTGTAATGCAAATGTTTCCTTCAGACAGACCCAGGCTAGCTGTTAGCCTGTTTTCAGTCTTTGCGTTAGCTAAGCTACAGGCTGCAGATTGGCTAAATAAATACAAATATTTGCTGTTGTACCCAAAGCTGTTAGCATGTGGCTACATCAGTGAGAGATTTTTGCCTAAATGGACAGAACACTGCATATCAATCTGGAGAACATAGGAATGGCCTTACATTTGTTTCTGTAGTATTAGCTAAGCTAAGGAGCTGCTGACTAGCTTGATGTAAAGCATAGAGACATGAGAGTTTGTATCAATTTCCTCATGAAGAAAGCCAACAAAGGTACAACATGGAGAGTTTTTTGACTAATTTAACTCATTGATAAAATAACCTCCTATCCTCTAACATAAAAATGATGCTAATAAAACACGTTTCATGTTTCTTTCTGCTGTAAGTTTTATCTTTTGGCTCTCTTCCCTGGGAACCAATGTATTTGTTATAGTGTATAGGGCTCTGATAGTGAGGAAGAATGAGTCAGTATGAAAAGATAACAACCTAAAGATTTGTCATGTGGTTCTTATACAAACGGCTGTTTTATAAATGTAACTCTGAATGAGGACAGCCATAATCAGTCAAAGCCAGGCTCTTCTATTTTTTTTATTATAAATCATTACTCCCTGATTATTGTAGCAGATAGTATCTACCCCTCCGGAGGAAGGCACTATGAATGGTCTGAACGTCCTTGGATTTTCATCAACTGGATTTGATGGATGGCTGGATAATAACGTTCCCTACAAGACGAGTCATCATCCTGATTGAGAAGTTTGGAGTAGCTTCTTTTTCTTCACATTCGCACACAGTCCATCCTGTTCTCCGTCTGTGTTCTGCATATTGAAGGGATTCAGTAATGTGCCGTATTATCGCACCTGAAGTCAGAAATCACTGCGAGGCTCTGGCCTGAAGACGCACACGTTATCTTTCATCTCCAGGTAGCTGCTTCAGGTAGCACTTATTTGATGTTAACTTTTTATTAACCTTGAATCTCCTCCGTTGAACTCCTTGTGTTGTGACCCCGCTGTGGGCTAAAGGTAGAGATAGCCAACCCAGTAAACGATGTTGAACAGCAAGAAGGAGGTGGGAAAAAAGACACGTGAGTATGCGTCCAGTTCGAGTAGATCTATGTGGACGCGTCCTCTCCTCCACCCTCCTTCTTTACACTCCTCCAGGCAGCAGAAGAAGCTCTGGCAGTCTTTCCCGTCCAGACACTCGTAGACACAGGCGTCCTCGAAGTCCTGCCAGTACAGGGAGTTGTTTAACGCGATGACGGTGTGTGGCGGCCTCACATCCAGCACCGAGTAGTTCTGAGAAAAAGGGGAGACTTTCTCAGACTTGAAGAAGCTACATAGCTATAATTGCTATGTTATATTTACGTAATGACTGTGATCATTTTGAATACTTCCTTTGTAATACTGATACTCAGGATCATGTCAGGATGGTTTACTTTACAGGATGATAAAGATTACATGTAAATAAGCCGGAGGTGTTCTAGTCGAAATGCTACCTCCACAATCCGACTCAGATAAGCGGTAGAAGATGGAATGATTAGAAAAACTAATAGTTTAACAAAAATTTGAAGTAACTTGACTGGTTGTAAAATACCCACATGTTTGCAAGTCTTTTTTTTTGCCATTTGAATGTGTCATTAAATACTGACACTGGCACTGTTTGTGCCATAACAAAAAAATACATTATATTTTAGTTACATTTAAATATTTTATTTTATTTTTTGGCTGATGTATGACCTGTAATTACCTTCATTTATTGTCATTTTTTAGCTGGCATATCTGTCATAGTTTTAGGGTGCTTTGATCATATATTTGACTATTCCTTTTTCTTGTAAGGTAGTGTTAAACAAACTAGATTCATCCCATTATTAATAAAGCCTATAGTTAGAGCTGGTTACTACATTTGATGGGATTTTACTTTTTTTTGCGTTTTTTCTGTATTTTATTTTATTCCATTACATTTTTGTATTCTACATTTATCTTGTAATCTTTTTTATATTGTCATTCGTGTTTGTTGATCTGTAAAGCCCACTGATGTGTTTTGTGACATTGGGCTATATTACAAAAATGTGATTTGATGATAAATTGTTAGTTGCATTGCTTTAAAGTAGCTGCCATACCATTGTTAGTTACACTCCAACAAAGCAAATTGATTATGAGTCCTCTATCATGTGATTTAAAGGCATATTTATCATGAATATTACATTTACCGTAAATAAACAAATTGCTAATCGTAGTCCAACTCACTGTTCTTCTAGGTTCCCTGCAGCGTGGTTTCTTAACGCTGTTCGAATAGTAATTCAGCGTCGCGTACTCCATCAGCGCGGCGAAGACGAACAGGAAGCAGACGGTGACGAAGAGGTCCATGGCGGTGATGTAGGAAACTCTGGGGAGGGACACCCTGGCCATGCTGCTGAGGGTGGTCATCGTCAGGACCGTGGTTATTCCTGCACGGGAGGAAAAGGGGACCTATCATGCAAAATGCACTTTTTGATGTCTTGTATACATCAACATGTGTCCCCTCTGTGTGAAGAGATTCTGAAAGTTTCAGGAAAAAAGATTCTCTCTTTTTGTCCTGATCCATTTAAATAAAAACCTGTCTGAAAATGAGCTGATCAGATTTTGGCCACTTTATGATGTCGTCATGATTTTTTGGCTTGTGTAACCATTAGCCAATCACCAACCAAGGTAACCCCCCCCCCCCCACCTTATCACCTGAATCTCCTCCTTGAGCACCATTGAGTTCTTTTTAACCAAATATCTCTCAGAGGGGCGTGGGGAGGGGCTCCTTATTTTCATCTAAAGTAACAGACAGAGAATCAGCACTTTTGAAACAGGTCTGAAACAGAGGGGATTATGGGATGCTGCAATGATCTGTTTGGTATTTCAGCCAAACACTTCAGAGACATGTTTTGTATGTTTCTCAGCTCTAATTATTGCACTCAAGTTGCTATTCAGAACAATGGAGTATCAACAAAGAAGTGTTGGCCTGGATAACATCTGGCAATGATCTGTTTGGTGTTTGGAGCCAAACACTTCAGAGACAGGTTTTGTATATATCTGAGACCTATAATATATTGATGATAAACAGTATAATAGGGGACCTTTAGGACATGCTGCCAGGGAATAATACGGAGTTTGAACCTGAACCGTTTTGTGAAACTGAGCTGTCTTTAATCCCGACCGTCATTTTACTGAAAAAGATTGAGTGAATGCTGGATTATGAATAAAATGAAATTATATAAAATCATCTTCAAATCCTGCAGTGTTTGTCTGAAGATCCTTCATGATCTCTTTTATTCAATAGCATAGTACATGTCTAAAAGAAGAGAAAGCTGACAACATGAAACTCTTTTAACAGTGATTTTAAAGTTATACTGTAAAAGCTAAAGAGGTTTTACGTTGAGAAAAGTTATTTTAGTACAGAGAACACTTTGCCACATTCGTTGAGCTCTATTTGATATTTAATTTAATCTTGTTTTATACAGTACCTTGTCTATTAAGTTCTTATTTTTGGGGTATTTTTCTGAAGCGCATGCGATTTTCTTTTGGATCTGATTCCGTTACCTTTAGTACATGAAAAATACAGATTGATTGCTTAATATTTATTATATAGAATATATATAATCACATTGCAGCGTGCTCTCTGTATTGGAATCATGTAAAATGTACAAAAAGTCAGTAAAACTCCACATAGAGGACACCTGTAATGAATATTGTCCTGAATATGAGTATTATAATAACATATACTGTAGGGCTATACAATACTCATTAACAAAAAAATCATTATGGGGTTGTCTAAAGTGATTTCAAATTTAAAATCCAACATCTCCGTCATAGTAACCTTGTCTTTATGTTAGCAAAGAGATGCTAAGTGAGAAGCTAACAAATCTTTTTTCTCTCACAGCAGATTTTGTTTGTGCATTCAGATTGACAGACAGGAGAAACACCTCCTACCTGCAGCGTCTCTCTACTGTATGATCATTTTTTGTCAGCATTGGAGAGATGTCTATCAAAAAACACAAACATCTGTGACTGTTTCACCCTGTTTCCCATGGCAACAAGCTATTTCAGGCGGACGCTCTCACTGTTCCTCCAGCCGCAGCTCACCAACATGATAACACTCACCTTTCATAAGTTAACAGAAAGGCACTTACATTTACCTACAGCGTAATGTAGAGGACATTGTGATGTTTAGTATGTAATGCATACGAATGAATGGTTGAAGAGCACAACATACATGAGCTCTTTTAAACACATGTGATTGACAACTTCTTAATAGTAGTGGTTATAAGTACTCAAACCTGAGTACTAACTACAGCAGCTAAATAAACTAAAATAACAATATTTATATACACATAAGAAGCTAAAAGGGCCCTATTCTGTAGTGTCTTGCATAGGTTTTTGCGCATGTAAATGGTCTGCAAAGGATAGAATCTCTGTGTAGCACTTAGTAAACATATGACATGCTTCTACTAAGAGCTAAGAGGAAATCGCACATTGATGCAAATGATTCAGGACAAAATAAATGTCATTTTCATTTGTAAAAGCAGCTCTGTCATTTGCACATACTATCACAAGAGGCACACTTGTTTTTTTAGTAATGTCAGTCTAAAAGGCCAGGGCAAACACAAGCTCACTCAAACATGTGTAAAATATATAAAAAATAAATAAAAATAACCAAAAACAATTAAATACATTACCTTTACAAGAGCGATCCACAGGACTGCACAACAGAGAGCATGCACAAAAGAGACAAATAAAAAAAACAGAACAAGATGGAGTGACTCTAATTAAATGACAAACATATATTCATGCAGCGTGGATCAGTGGTGGGAAGTACAAATACTCAGTACAGTACCTAAGTTGAATTTTGAGATACTTGTACTTGAAAATGTACCTTTTACGCTACTTTAGTTACATTGCAGGTACATATAATTAATACAAATATATATCAACAGGTGAATGATGAACAATTATACATCAAGATCCCTGGCAGTAAAAATGATTAAAATAAGCTTTGCCCTTACTTACTGCTAAATTAAAATAATGAATAACGATATAATATATACTAATGAACGATTATTGGTTAATAACTATAAACCAGTGATATAATACGTATTATAAAACGGAAAAGTAAAATCAAGCAATCTGATTGGTTCTTCTTAGCCGAGATATAATGAGCGTATACCACGGGTAGAATTGTAGTTACTTTTCACAACAAGTCAGTATCCCTCCGCGTCTGAGAAAAGCTACAACCGTTACAACTGTTACATTACGTCCGTTACGAAACTAACTAACTAACAACGCTTAAGATGGAAACATGTAAGGGATAATGTGCAGCAAGGACTTATTGACCGTTGGGCCAAACCACGGCCCTTATTTAGCTGTGATATAATGAGCATATACCACGGCCTGTCGTGAGCTATTGCTTAATTATATTATTCTTAAAGTGGTCATTCTGCAGACGTAGTTTCAAAACTTAAATGCTAATACTGTTGTACTTTTACTGAACTAAGATGATCAAAAGGCATACTTTTACTTTAACAGAGTATTTGTACACTGTGTTGAGAACTTTTTCCATCACTGATGTAGATAAACGATAAAGATAGAAGCATATTCAAAGCAAAACATGATTAAAGAGTGCAAATGGAAACCTGATGAGAAAAGCCTTGACATGAAGACTGCATCTGTACTTTCTCTTATTTGTATTAGCTTAAGTGTAAAGCATAGTTACAGACATAGAGCTACAGTGTGGATGGACTATAGAATAGAATAGGTCTCTTTAATGGTCTCACATGCAGAGCACACAGCACACAGTGACATGTGTTCTCTGCTTTTAACCCATCCTGGTACCAGGAGTCTAGTACTAGGAGCAGTGGGCAGCTATTGTACAGCGCCCGGGGAGCAATGGGAGTGAGGGGGGAAGGGGGGTGTCCGGTGCCTTGCTCAAGGGCACCACGGCAGGGCCCAGGAGGTGAACTGGGACCTCTCCAAGTAGCAGTCCACACTCCATATTTTAGGTCTGGTCTTGAACCGGCGACCCTACAGCTCCCTGTCCAAGCCCCTACTGACTGAGCCACTGCCGGACTATATTGAGTAAACACATATATCTTAGTCTCTGTGAACTTCAGCTAGTTCACAGTTGTGTAATTTGAAACGATTGCTTAATTTCAAGGAAGTCCGAGAACATGGTAGAAACACCAGCCGCAGATAGCAAAACAGTACAGTTATATAACCAGCGTTTAAATGAGTAGACACTGCCTATAACAGGAAGTGATGTAAGTCATGTAATATCTGTGACTACTAAAGACTTTGCAAAATGACAAAATGCTGGTTTTCCTTGCAATTAAAACACGTCCATCTTAGATGATCCTGTCTCCAGTCTCTTTCTTAAGATTTCAAGACCTTTATAATAATAATAATAATAATAATAAAGCTTTATTTATATAGCACTTTTCATACAACACATGCAGCTCAAAGTGCTTTACTAAATGACACATCACAAGTTAGAAAACAAACAACAAGAAATTCCCCTCAGATTATTTGTTTAAGGCACATGCAGCAAAATATAACATTTCATCAGGTTAATAGACACAAGGAGGTAAAATGTATGATAATACAAATTAAATAAAATAAATAATGGTTTCTCTCTGACAGATAAGACAAGACAACTCAATCAATGCAACAATATAAAATATAAAACCCCATAAAACAAAGTGAACATATACAGCAGGTACAACAGAAATAACAATTAAAAGATAATAGTAATACAAATGCCATAATTCTAATAAAGGTGAAATGATTAAGAAATAAAAAAGAGCAACGTAAAAATAAATATTGCTATTGAAGCATGTTAGATCAATAAAATAAGAAAAAATCCTTTAAGACCTATAAAATAAATAAAACAATATAAAAGGTAGGTAAATAATAAAGACTAAAAGAACATTTAAAATGGGGGGTTGCTAATAAAAAGCTAATCTAAAAAGATACATTTATATTTTATACATTTATTTGGCCTCAGAAGACACCACAGTATCTGCAGAAAGAGAAAGCGGTACCTAAAGCGGTTCTGGCCGGCGTGGCGTCCTTCTTGATCCAGAAGGAGACCCAGGACAGGACCACGGTGAGGATGCAGGGGATGTAGGTCTGGATGGTGAAGTATCCCATCCTTCTGCTCAGGTCAAAGTAAACGGTCATCAGCACGTAGTCACCTGTGTGAGAAAACAACACAACTAGAGAAGTAGAACCCGGAAGTGAGTTAGCATTTGACCACTTCCGGTTCCCTCGTCTCAGAGCCAATGGGTTTTCTCCGTAGGGTTTTGGAAAACAGCTGGAAATAAGGTCTGTGGTTGACACAAATTTAAGAGACAGATCACGTTTTGTTCTACGACATTAAATCCATCAGCAGTGACCCCACTGGTGATTTTTGAAGAGTTTACGTGTCTGAAAAACGATGGTTGTTACCAAGTGGCTGAATAGGACTACAGAAGTTGTCGAGGACGTTGTACGTCATTACGCCGAACACGTAAACACCAGTGAGTGAGTGAGTAACCAGTGAGGTAAAGGCACATCTTTATATGATCATTATAGTTGTAAAAAAATAAGAGAATAAAGTAAACAGGAATAAAATACTATATGACAGTAAAAGAAAGTTGTTATTAATAAACAAGAATACAGTTTGAAAGGAGAGTGATTTGTAAAATATAAAGAAAAAGAAAATCTGCTTCCAGTTCTGTTTCATATGGGTGTTGAGAGATGTATCCATAGATCTCTGAATGTTGCTCTCAAAGTGCACCAGATTGATGCTTTTAACTTCAACATTAAAAACAAATCTTCCCGGGGGAGCATGCCCCCGGACCCCCCCCACTTAAATCATGTCCACATGGATAGGAAACTAAATACATTTGCACACATCTTGTGTCCAATATCTTTCTGTTTTGGTGGTCATGCCACACCGTGCACATGCATGCATACGCGTGTCATGGTAAGATATCTGGATTAAGAGGTTGCTTTTTCTTTGCACAGCATGAAAGAAAGGCCAAATGAATGGGCTGTGATTTTAGTATTTTTAAGCAGAGGTCAATAATGTGCACGTTCCTCGGAGGATGTTGAAAAAATTGAAATGGCCCTTGAGAGGAAAAAGGTTCCCCACCCCTGCTTTAAAGTGTCCTCATAAAAACACTTAAAGAAGCGGTAAGGATGAGTCAGCTCTATTCAGCTTCCTCTTAGAGAGTATCTTATCAGTGCTTTCTCTCTGCAACCAATATCACTTATGAGTACTTGAAGGGGAAATGCAATTTTATTAAAATCTGTATAATTTAAAGGGGACCTATGCAAAATGCACTTTTTGATGTCTTTTATACATAAATATGTGTCCCCGGTGTGTCGGGGAACTCACGCAGCGTCAGAAAATAAAACCCTTTCTCTTTTACTCAGTACCCACATCTTTTAAAAACGGGGGTACAACGAGCGAATACCAATTTGCTGCCGATATTACGTAATTTCGGATGGTGGACCCACAGAGAGTTGCTATCAGAAACAATGCCTGACGTGTGTTGGACGTAATCTCGTCTTTGTTTACATTAGCAAGCCTCGCTAACACTCAGAGCTAACCTGTACTGTAGAGCACGTGTTTAAAAAGCAGGAAATTAAAAAAAAGGAACTCACCTTGTGGTAAACTCGCAAAAGAAAAAGCATTTGAGCTCCATACTATTTCAGAGATAATCCTTGATGTGGTTTAGAACAGGATGGCGTTTTATCACAGCAGAATTATACTTTATCTCCGGTAGAATTCTGATCAGGCATTAGCTCCGCCCCCTCTCTTCTTTTTTTTCAAGCTAAGGACCCAAGATCCGCGTTTCTCTAAACAGGGCTGCAATAGAGGGATATGAGGGATGTCTAAAATGCATGATCTGTTTGTATTTTGAGAAAAACACATCACAGACATGTTTTTATATATTTTTCTATATCTGAGACCCATAATATATGCCTCAAAATAGCTTGATAGGTGCACTTTAAATGATCAAATGGATAGAAAATAAGTCTGCAAAGAAGCCTTCTTATTTGGCAATTTTGTTTCCAAACATGGTTGGTTTCAATGACACATTTAGAACTTGTTAAGAATGGGTGAAATAAAGTCTAATATTGTATATTATGTATGGTCAACACTGAGTCTGCCTTTCCAACTATCAGATCGAAACAATGCAATATTTCAAATTTGGTGATCAGATTTAAATATTTGATGTTGCATCACTGAACAGGAAGCAACAGCGACATTGCGGTCAAGTGGTCAAGGGTTTATTTGCTTTAAGTATTATGCCCTGTGCATGGTACACTTTCAATTAAAATCTCCTGAATTACTGAACCACCTGTTTATTCATGTGGAACAGACATGTATGAACACGTCTCTGAACGGAAATGTCAGTGAAACAGTCTGCAAAAGAAATTGTATGCAATGCAAATTCAAAGGGTTTAAAAACACATTGAATGCAGTGGTGACAACAGAAAGAAAAACAGGTAGACATAGACAGGTAGTGCTTAATAGTGATACTTAACAATTTGTTTGAATGCAGGCAGGCAGTTTGTGTGGAGAGCAAAAGAGGCGGTGAGCATTGGCCAAAATGCAATCTTGGAACCCATGCTGACCACAATGTAGGGTTTTACTATCTTAAAGGTCACCTATTATGCAAAATCCACTTTCTCATGTCTTTTCTACATCAACATGTGTCCCCTCTGTGTAAAGAGACTCTGAAAGTTTCAGGAAGAAAGATTCTCTCTCTTTTTGTCCTGATCCATTTATATAAAAACCTGTCTGAAAATGAGCTGATCAGATTTTGGCCACTTTATGTCATAATGATTTTTTGGCTTGTGTAACCATTAGCCATTCACCAACCAAGGTAACCCCCCCCCCCCCCCCCCCTTATCACCTGAATCTCCTCCTAGAGCACCATTGAGTTCTTTTTAACCAAATATCTCTCATGCGGCTTTCACACCAGCGCTTTTCTCTTTCTAGCTCCTAGCGAGAGCTTTTCTGGTTCAGCTCCGGTTTCCCTTTTCAGCTCCCGCTCTGTTCACACCGTCCAGAGCTGCCGCTGCTGCGTCATGACGTCACCGTTTATGTCGCTGATTTTCTCCCACAACAACAACGGGGGGGGACTGCGTCGGGTCGATGATCGTGTTGCTTTTAATCATACGAAGCCAGATTAAATTAAATAACGACTCCTCCAACCTTATACTTTTCTCCAGAGTGCCGTGGTTCATTGTTTATTAATGTGTTTCAGCGGCATTTACCGACCGCTGCAGTGCTGCTGCTCTTCCACGGGAGTTTATTCTCCCGTTAGCTCCGGGTTAGCTCACACGGCTCTAAAGTATTCACTGTCTGACTGGCACACAAGCAGCTGATACATATCCCCAGTTCCCCTTAAGTGAATGTGTGTCAGTCTGAATTGACGCTGTTTGGCATCACAACGCTGTTATGAAAGTTTCTCTGGTATAACATGGGTGATGTTAGCATAGCAACCGAAGCTAAACTGACTACTTGCTAAGCCGTTTTCTACAGGCACATTTTACCGGCGTATTTTTCATTATGATTCTACTTGTGATAGTCGGACATGACAACCTGTGCAGCCCATGTATTAATTCCATCCGATAGCTGCTATAATAACAAACAAAACGTCTGCCTGCTCTCCACAATGATCAATAACAGCGAACGGATGGTCAAAGTAAGGTTTCCTGTACGCCTCGACGTAAGAGACGCCGCGTCATAGCTCCGAAGCTCTTGCCTCTGGACCGACAATTTTTTGGAGCTGGAAGTGAACCGCATTCCGGAGCTATGACGCGCCGCCGCTGCGGTGTGAACAGGAAAAACCGGCGCTTTTCCAGCTCCAGCTCCGAGCAGGAGCTGGAAAAGCGCCGGTGTGAAAGGGGCATCAGAGGGGCGTGGGGAGTGGCTCCTTATTTTCATCTAAAGTAACAGACAGAGAATCAGCACTTTGGAAACAGGGCTGAAACAGAGGGGATTATGGGATGCTGTAATGATCTGTTTGGTATTTCAGCCAAACACTTCAGAGACATGTTTGTATATATCTGAGACCTATAAGATATTGATGAAAAACAGTATAGTAGGGGACCTTTAAAGTTAGAAAAACTGGTCACTTGTTGTTTCTCAGCTCTAATTATTGCACTCAAGTTGCTATTCAGAACAATGAGTATCAACAAAGAAGTGTTGGCCTGGATAACATCTGGCTAAACTGGAACACCTGCAATAACGATGCTTGACCCCAGAAAGATAACGCTGAGGTTGCAGTTCAGAAATGAATGCGGGAAGGTATTTCCATGATGAGATCCACTCCCTACCTGCTGTCGTCTGTATTATGTCCGTGGTGTTCCTCAGGCCCATGAAGTCAAACTGGTAGAGCCGCCAGGACTTCTGGTCCGTCGCCTCCACAGAGTTCTTCCTCCACTTGTAGATCATCTCATCTCGAGGGTATCCGTCTGCAATTACACAGAGCGTGAGTGTTTGACCCTCTGCGATTCATCCTAATGATGGATTTCCCGTTCAGACACACCTACAGCCAGCGGAGCAACATTAGTCTTGAGCTGCTAATGAAAGACTGTCTGCATGAGGACAGAAAGGTAGATTAAAACAAGGCTTTGGTTCGATGATGCACTGAATCCATCACGAAGCCGCCTGACCTTCACAAGATGTGCACAAAGACGAGAAGTGTTTTTACAATCAATCATATGAGGTTAATGACGGGTGATGAATCCATTTCTGCTTTGGTGTTTGGCCTGGATCTTCTTCAACAGACACATCATTGTATTCAGTAGAAAAGCTAACAAAATTAAGATCTTCCCTAAAAGCAATTTGATGTAATAGGTATTTAATTCACGAGAAGATTAGATGGAGGGAATGTTACCCAAATTACTAATTGTTTTCAAACATGTCTGATGAATAAATTCAATTAACATTTGATACAATGTCATTAGAATACAGATATTGCAACAAAAATTCCCAGTAAAAAGCTTAATGTTGGAAAACTCATGAAATCTTGAATGAATGGTAACACTATACTGTAGGAAATCTGTATTAAAAAAAAACAGTAGTTATTGGTTCAATCACAATTCGCTGTGCATTTATAAATTAACAATATCTATAATACCTTATTCAAATGGTAGTACCTACATTGAGACTCCACATCAAACCATACCAGATGACAGGTTGAAACTAATAGTTGCTCAAATTAAATGTAATTGGCGAAAATATGTACTTAAAATTTTGTGAGATCCTGACAATCCTTTTTTATTGGATATTTCTGCTAAAATTGCCACACTGTTGTTGGGAAAATACTGAATGTACTCTTCCAATATGAGAGTACACATGATAACAAAGGCCCTACTGTAGCTGTGTACGTAACAGGATGTATGATTACCTAGAAGAGCATCAGGACTGTTTTAGACATGGAGAGAGACATATGACAAGCATGATCATTTCTGACGTGGGCCATTGAATACTGCTTTGAACCGGTATTCCTCCATCTTGTGACTGTGTAACTTCTTCTCTTGTATATCAGCATGTGAAGGACACTGTTCAGGAACTAGTTGTACCAAATGCTCTGTATGTGATGACTACTTCCATTCTGGAGAGGATCATAAATACATGTATCCTGATATTGAAGATCAAGCCGGTAACGAGTGATATTTTTCTAACAGTGGCCTATTTATTATTATTTTTTTAAATAGAAAACTGGTCAAACTTTTGCTGCACAACAATGCACTTTAAGAAGGAACACTTACCAAATAAAACATTTTGTTGTCCATGTCTGATAATGAGAATCAGCTTAAAAGCGTTATATTCTGCTTTTTGGGGGCTTTCCCTTTCCTGTGGTGTGTTATATAGGTTTTTGTGCATGTAAATTGTCTGCAAAGGCTAACATCCCTGTGTTCCCTCCAGAGAGAGTTTCTTTCCCACTCTCTCACCCATCCTGCCTGAAACGCCCCCATTGGATTCCTTAGTTTACTTCCAGAACATAATGACATCACTATGTAACACGCTCCTATTGGCTAACGCTCCAACACATTGTTCGTGATAAGGCTAAGGGGCGGGACATCTCTAAGCGGTTGAACCTGAAAATACACAGCCGGAAAAAATCTGCCACTTCCTTACAGAGCCCCTCCTCCAACACACACAAACGCGCACATGACCAATGAGGGCACGAGATAAGTTTGTGCACAGATGGAAGGCTGACAGGCAGGTAGGCCATCCAGTTATTTTAGCCGGGCCGGCTCAAATGATTGGTCGTGCTTTTTACAGTACTACGGCTTCCACAGATGACATTTTTTTATGGATTTTTTGTCAAAGCACTTAAGATATTCATTGCTATCGGGATGTTAAGAGCATTCCATGGAATATAACAAAAAGTGTATCTCGAGCCGGTTTCTCAAACTTACCTACCCTACCTTTAATCAATGTCAAAAGATATATTGTTTTTTTAACATATAGTCCAGATATACTTTTAGGTTGCTAAAGTCTACTTTTACCAACATTTATCCGAACAATGTAAATGAAAGTGTTGGAGAACAATAAAAGCCGCTAAAACGCTCAGAGGTGCTGAGGTAAACTGTGTGATACTTGCTTAGTACTCAGTTAATTATTTCAATCCCAGAGGCGTGATGGCTCTAAAGACAGAGCACATCTGACTTAATCAGAAAAACAAAGACGTTGGCATGGAAACGGGCTTAATGCCTGGTGATGTCCTCAGGTAAGGAAATGGGTTTAATGGATCTCAGCGTGAAGTGTCCACACAGAAGAGGCGCTGCAGCGAGCCTTAAGCTCTAATAAGCTGCACAAGGTCTTTCACAATGAAGCCTTCCTGTAATCCTAATAAAGGATCGCTGCAAGGCCATTACTCACTACCACAGCACATGCACTACCATTCAAAAGCTTTATTCTCATATGCTCAATACCTAGTGAGTTGGTTTCTTTGGCCATGAAAATCTGGGGTACCAGGCTCCTCCAACAATACAACACACTATACTCAAGACACAAAAGGAAATACAATATTGCAAGAGACAGACGGGTACAAGTAAGATGAATGTGGGGGAAACTTCTGAAGTAAGGACTCAGAGAGACACGAGGAGAGCTGGAGCTTTGATGGCAAACACTGATTTATTTGGAGCTTCGGCCGGAGAATTCACAAGACATGTCACGGGCCACGGTTTGACCACACGGTTGAGATGCCACAATCAATTCTGAAGAACTCTACCCCAGACCCATGTATTTAGCTAGTTCTGAGAGAATAATCAACATTGTGCAATAGATGGACTAAACAGAGGGACACTGAATCACATTTGTTGTCGCTTATGGCTCGGGGTCATCTACACCCCGAGAAGGATGTGTTCCAGGTGTCCCACAACAATGACTATCTCTGACAGAGAGTTACCCGGTCATAAACTGGTAACAACAACAACTTGCTAGGGCAGCCCCTCCTTAAGGGAGATAACGGCTGCTCAAGGCTGGGCATCTGCGTCAGAGGGCGAAAGATGACATGCAGGGGAAATTATTCCCCATCAATGAAGGAATAATGTGACATAATGTTGCATTAAGATGCATAAATAAGCAAAACAATACACATTTATAGAATAGAATAAGATAAAACATGTTCAAATTAAATAAAAGTACAGCAGAATAAGTCCCAGGCTCGCAAATAAAATAGAGCCAAAGACATAATGGTGCAGGTAAGATGCAGGAATAAGCAAAAATATAAATACGTATATATAGACACATTATATATATATACTTAGCAGGCTACTTCTGTCACACCAGCAGGATCTGTATTCACATTTGATATACACCAACATCAGCAAAATAAATAAAACCAAAATAAGCAAATGATAAATACCGGGGGAAATGTGGTATTTTGATGCATTAGACACTAAAAATAAATATGGTAGTTTTTGCTGGGAACTAAATTGAGCGAGGCGTACTCACAGCTGGAGAAGACGAGCGGACAGGAGTGCTCGTCCATCGGGAAGTTGTGAAGCTGCAGCTGACACTCTGCGTTTATCGTCAGCCTGAAAGAAAAATCACAATCATTTTTTAATGTCCAGTTATTTTTGTCGCCCAGAGAGAATATAACCAAATAACTATAACAATTCTAAATAACTTGAAGAAAGAGACTGGAGACAGGAGGCTCTGAGATCGACGTGTTTTAATTTCAAGGAAAACCAGAATACGTAATTTTGTTTTAAGTTGTCGTATCATTTCCTGTTACTGACTCCCTAGGCAGCGTGTCTTTCAATTCCACAGAAATGGAACAATTGTTATATAACTACCGTTTTGCTATCTGCAGCTGGTGATTCAACCATGTTCTCGACTTTCTGGAAATTAAAGGGGCCCTATTATGCTTTTTGGGGGTTTTCCCTTTCCTGTAGTGTGGTCTATAGGTTTTAGTGCATGTAAATGGTTTTTTTCTATATTTTCTTTTAAACTTATAATTATATTTGTTAGGTTTATTATAGTTTTAAAAATAGCTATTTCAAGAAAATTAGTCTACAATTTTTTTTAAATAAATACTTAGTAAATCGTAAATCCTTCTATTAAGGAATACAATAATTTTTTTAAAATCCTGATTACGTAATCCTGTAATTCAAGTAATACACACACACACACACACACACACACACACACACACACACACACACACACACACACACACACACACACACACACACACACACACACACACACACACACACACACACACACACACACACACACACACACACACACACACACACACACACACACACACACACACACACACACACACACACACACACACACACACACACACACACACACACACACACACACACACACACACACACACACACACACACACACACACACACACACACACACACACACACACACACACACACACACACACACACACACACACACACACACACACACACACACACACACACACACACACACACACACACACACTTTTTTCACTGCTCTGCTACTATTAGACCTGCACAATGAGGATGAAATAACAAGCTTCTTAGAAAACAGCCCACAGCACTTATCCTGTGCGGATTCGGGGGGAATGTGTGTGTGATGTAGCTAAAGGCCAAATGTCCCATAAGACCAGGCAAACCTGTGGATGTAATTATGCAGCCAGTGTGTTGTTGACCTTCAATTATAAAGCAGTTAAAGAACGCAAAGTGACATCTCTTATCTGAATGGGAACACCGGCAACAGGAAGCATTAAGAAGTCCCTGACCTCTTTAAAATCACACAATAAGTTTCAAGAATCAAGAGTTTGTGTTTCCTGTACAACCCACCTGACCGAGAAAACAATCAGCATCAAAATGTAGTTAACCTCTTTCTGGTTAAATGAGGGGTTCAATCTTTCCCTTCTCTGTATGTGTTGTATAGGTTTGTATGCATGCAAATGGTCTGAAATGCCTCCATTGGACTCCTTTGTTTACTTCCTGAACATAGTGACATCATTATGTAAGGCCCGTGCTCCTATTGGCTAGCGCTCCAAAACATTGTACGTGATAGGCTAAGGGGCGGTTGACCAATCCCAACAGAGCCGGCCAGCTAACCAATCAGAGCAGAGGGTGAAAAGAGGTGCTGCAGCACAGGCAGTATGAGAAAAATAAAGAGCTTTTTGAACATTAAAGCATGGAAACATGTCCCAGTAGAGACATCAAATACAAATATGAACCTGAAAATGAGCAGAATATGTCCTCTTTAATGGTTTTGTCCCCACAGATAGTGTGAGATAAATTGCAATATAAGAGAAAACGTACAAGGTAATTAGCACATAGTATATACATTAGTTTCTATAGTCCACAAGGCAGTAAATAGTATGAGAGATTAATCTTTGCACATCATAAAGCGTGTAATCAGGACAATGCAGTGCATGTGGGAGAGGCGGGGATATCACAAAATGTCATCACTGTTTCAGCGACCAAAGCTAATACACAATTAATACCAGATGACATTTCACTGTCTTTTCTCATGCCACCAACGGATATTACTCTGCAAAGTTTGCAATGGCTTAATAAATCTCAATAAGGCTGCATGGGGAAGAATATAGCTTGCATCAAACACAACGTTCTATGGAGCCTGGATGCTGGTCCGAATTAGTTAATAAATAAAGTAAAATATATATGTTTTACCTCAGACTCAATATATTTACACCACTTTATGATTCTTGGAGTAAAAAGCTAACATTAGGCTATGAAGGAACTACAGAACCACCGCTAAGCTAAAGGTGCCTAATGATGGGCTATAAAGGAACTTCAGCACGGTCAACAACTAAAAATACATTCAGAAAACCATTGACTTTGAGATGAGACAACAGGGTGTGCTGGACTGCAGATGGAAATCTGACTAAATCTTATGTTTTCTCTTTTGAGAAAAAAACCTTTTCTTTTATGGATTGTCCACGTCTAATAAAAACGAAAAATGATAACCGCAGAGTTGGATTACAAACGACTAAATGTTGGCCTGTAAAATAACACTTAGAGACAGACAAGAATTAATGCGAGAAGATAATAGTGCTGCAAATATATGTACCTTTTCACATGTACAATATGTACAATATCAGCTACCATACCACAGGAAAGTCCTGAAACATGATCACAATTCTGGAAATGTCTCACAACATAAGACCAATGCCAAGAAGATGAGGGGCAGTGTGGAGATGGTTGTCACTGAAGCAGCAGTTTAAACTAATGTCAAGTGCTCTAATTACAAAGAGAGCTTCAGGGCAGGAGGGTAAAGTTGTTGTAGAGTTTAAAGCACCCAATTTGCACTTACCATCACTAATGGCAGTGTTTAATGGTTTTCATGTTCTTACTGGAGAATGTTTGCATCCTAAGATGGTGCAAATATCTCTTATCTCTTCAATATCTGCGACAATATAAACTAATGGGTTGATTGATCAAATGTGTTGATTCCCATGGGTAGGTTTACATGTAGGTTAGCTTAGCAAGGGGTCCCTTCAAGAAAAGCTTTTTATTTTATTTTGGGGTGTTTGGGGTTGGTCAAATTCAGGGTGTTTATTTTTCCATCCATCTTCTCCCGCTTATCCGTGGTCGGGTCGTGGAGGTAGCAGTTCCAGCAGAGAGCCCCAAACGTTCCTTTCCCTGGCCACATCAACCAGCTCTGACTGGGGGATCCCAAGGCGCTCCCAGGCCAGCGAAGAGATGTAATCCCTCCACCTGGTCCTAGGTCTACCCCTTGGTCTCTTCCCAGCTGGACGTGCCTGGAACACCTCCCTAGGGAGGCGCCCAGGTGGCATCCTTACTAGGTGTTTGTTTTTAAATCACTTAATAATAATCCTATGGATATCAAATATGCGAGTTGTAGTGACGTGTGCGGGCTATCTGCCGTCATGCTTTGGCCCCTTTTTCTGCCCGTCGTTTTACCAGTTTTATGTGTGTTTTGCAGGGTTTTGCTTCGCGAGCGATTACAATAGGGTCTTCGCCGACCTCTGTTCTCAGACCCTAATTAGGGCGGTTTTTATATAAACCATATTGAAAATGTTGATACAGCTTTGAGATAATGGGCTGCACAATTTTATATTAAACAAAAAAATATTACTTTCCAATCCCAACATTTCTCCACACGATGTGAGGCCAAAACCATACTGTATAGTAAGAACTATGAAAATAATCTTTAAAGTAAGTGTTTTTGCAAATGGTAAATGGACTGAACTTATATAGTGCTTTATCAAGTCTTCGACCCCTCAAAGTGCTTTACATATAGTACTAGTCAAAAGTTTGGACACACCTTCTCATTCAATGGTTTTTATTTAATTTAATTTGTTTCTACTTTGTAGATTAATACTGAAGACATCAAAACTATAAAAGAACACATATGGAATTATCTAGTTAACAAAAAAGTGTAACAAAAATCCAGAATATGATTTTTATTTGATATTCTTCAAAGTAGCCCCCTTTTGCCTTGATGACAGCTTTGCACACTCTTGGCTTCTCTCAGTCAGCTTCATGAGGTCGTGACCTGGAATGGTTTTCAATTAACACGTATGCCTTGTCAGGACTCAATTTGTGGAATGACTTGCCTTCTGAATGTGTTTGAGATCATCAGTTGTGTTGTGCAGAGGTAGGGTTAGTGCACAGTGGACAGCCCTATTTGACTACTGTCGAACCTACATACCATACATTTTAAAGAAGGGCAAACCCGATGTCCTAAACTACAGTAACTTGTATTTCTCCGAGCATTCAACTGTACACACTGTCAGTAACAGCATATGTTGTGTGGAATTTAACATTCTTATATTTCATTTGGTGACGTCTGCAGAACATCAATTATGCCAAAGCTTCCACTTTTTATTGCAAACTCTTCACTGAAGCATTTTACTTTCACTTTACCAGGAATAAGTTAGACGATTAAGAAGTTAAATGTATTTACCTCAAGGTGTAGAGTATCTTCCCGTCGTTCCATATCCGAAGCAGCTGGTTGGGCATTGTGATCCAGTGGGAGTCTGCCGTCTTGGAGTTTCTGAAGATGGTGTCAGGAAGCCAAATCATTCCAACCATGTTGCTGTTCAGAGTCAATTTCTTCATGGTGCTGTTGTAGCTGAGGCGGCTGTCTGTCCACGTCTGGGCGAAGATGATGTCGATTTGGTATTCCTAAAAGGGAAAAAATCAAAAGACTTCATGTGAACGTACAGCGTTTATTATTTGATGCCATTTCATTTCAGAAATATCACTCATGCCGTCCAGTTTCCTCCGGTCCTAAACTGCATTGAAACCATACTATTACTGGGAAACGTTCTTCTTTTGGTCCGAGTACGATTAATGCGTTCCCTGCCAACATTTGTACGGTCTTTTAAGTTGCGTTGATTTATCCATCCATCCATTCATCTTCTCCCGCTCATCCGTGGTCGGGTCGCGGGGCTAGCAGTTCTAGCAGAGAGCCCCAAACGTTCCTTTCCCTGGCCACATCAACCAGCTCTGACTGGGGGATCCCAAGGCGCTCCCAGGCCAGCGAAGAGATATAATCCCTCCACCTGGTCCTAGGTCTACCCCTCGGTCTCTTCCCAGCTGGACGTGCCTGGAACACCTCCCTAGGGAGGCGCCCAGGTGGCATCCTTACTAGGTGCCCGAACCACCTCAACTGGCTCCTTTCAACGCGAAGGAGGAGCGGTTCAACTCCGAGTCCCTCCCGGATGACTGAACTTCTCACCTTATCCCTAAGAGAGACGCCAGCCACCCTGCGGAGAAAACACATCTCGGCCGCTTGTATCCGCGATCTCGTTCTTTCGGTCATGACCCATCCTTCATGACCATAGGTGAGGGTAGGAACGAAAATGGACAGAGAGCTTTGCCTTCTGGCTCAGCTCTCTTTTCGTCACAATGGTGTGGTAAAGCGACTGCAGTACCGCTCCCGCTGCTCCGATTCTCCGGCCCATCTCACGCTCCATTGTTCCCTCACTCGAGAACAAGACCCCGAGATACTTGAACTCCTTCACGCTGATTTATAATTAATATTAAATTGTGTGCTAGACACGCATGTTTTTAGTGTCTGTAGCCCCTGAGTTGCCTTGATAGAAGTTTACTGTCTCAGATTGCCATTTAAGTTCGATTTGAAATGTACCAGGGCTGTAATTAAAGACTAGTCCTTACTTGGTAACTTCTCCGGCTCTCCGCTGTGCGAGCTCAGAGGGGCATCAACCGGCTCAGAGAAACCCCTTCAGCAACAGTTGAGTTCTTAGGGTCCAACAATACAGATACAGATGTACAGCATAATGAAATGACTAATAGTCTCCATTGTCCACGTTTTCATTCTACTGCCACCGCCTGAAATCAATTTGACCTTTATCCAGTGCACCAGTTTGAATAGCTCCCAATTAGAAAGAAGGCTGTTATCAAGAGAAGCACTGGGGGCTCGTGACCTTTAATAGCTTAAAGAAACTGAACAGCATTTAATGACCGCTGGAGAAAAAGTGCTGAAAATCAAATAAATAGAAGTAAAATAAGCTTGAGTAATCACAACGGGACACAGGATTGCAGATGGGATCATTTAAGATATAAACATTTGTATTCTCTTATGATAGAAAGACATTTGAACTATGCTGAAAGAGAATCGATCACTTCCTCCCCCCTGCAGCTGCTTTCAGCCGCTATACGAGGAGGCTTTGATGAGAACAGAATGGGTCTTTCACCTCAGCTGACTCAGAGGAGCTGCTATTGTAGAGGTACTGTATATACTCACAGTAAAATCAAAGCTGCACAGTGGGAACAGACCCCTCATGATATATTGCTTTAAACTGAACAAGAACAAATGATTTCCTGAGACATGAAGCAATGACAGATGTTTATTACTGTTGAAGTACAAGCTGTATAGAGAGGTGTAGGATGAAGTCTTAAACTTGGAAATCAGTCAGCATATTAGCACTTCCTGTTATCCGCCTGGAAGTCAATGTTTTTTTAAATGTGTTTTTGGTTGTTGGTCTGAAATAAGTTCTGTGGTTAACACAAGCTCAAGAGATTGTAACATTTTACTGACAAATTCGTCAGTAAATACCCCTTGCTAACAAGTGTCTAAATGAGACGACTAAACGTCATCACGCTCAACATTAGCAACCTTTAGCTTAGCGGTGGTCATAAAGTGGTAATATGTGGAGATTATCCTGTTCAACAAAACGTGTAGGTATCATAAATAGACACTATTTTCTGCAATATACTGAGGTTTAATGTGAAACATCCTATTACTTTTTGATGAGAGACACCATTGACTACGAGACCAGAGGACAGGAAGTTCTAAAATGCTGACTCGTTTCGGGGTTTTGGGATTTATTCCTGCACCACTACATTCAGGGTTCATACACTTTTTCACCAATGATTTTCAATGACTTTTCCATGACTTCTCCATGATCTTTACCTAATTTTCCATGACCAAAAAATTACTCTTTCTCAGCGGTACCACTGAAAATGGTTTATTTTAACATGGAACAGGAAAATAAGGTCTGCATATGAAACATGTTGTGCCTATCTAAAACAAATCAAATAGGCTTACTAGCTTCTACACGCTAAAGCCACTAAAATCTCTCACCAGCAAAATACCTCAACAGTTAAATGCCATTACTATACGATACAGTATTTATTATCGTTATAGTATTACTATTTCGGCGATTAGCTAAAATATAAATTATATTTGATGCAACTTTAGTTACATTTCCATGACTTTTCCAAAACTTTGGGAAAAATATTATTTTCCATAACTTTTCCAGGGCCTGGAATTTGCATTTTGAATTTCCATGACTTTTCCAGGTATTTAATGACCGTAAGAACCCTGTACATTGTACCATGTTGAGTGGTACACAGGGGGGTTCCTTCTTTAAGGGAATCGTCTCTTTTAGTACCCTAAACAATCTATATAGTTAATATCTGTTTACAGTGATTTTTTTCCACATTATGCTTTATGGGTTTACTTATTTAATATTTAATTCCATCAATTATAATTCTCTCCTGTCTAAAAAGGTGTTTAGTTTGGTCACGCTGAACACATTTACTCTTATAATGGTATACTGTTCCCATCAATCATGAAGACAAATGACTCATTATGGTAAATCTGCACATGGCTTAATGTGCACTCTGATATGTGGGGAATTACTCCACCACTCAAACGTTTTAAAATGAGAATTCAAATCAGACGTCGAGGCGGCCATGATGACTTCAGCTTTTCATTCTGTGCAAACACAGCAGAGTCTTATTCCACTGACCTTCATGTGTCTTGGTGTAAACAAGGCATTATTAATGATTTCTGCAGAGTTTTTAGATGAACTAAAGACTGTGTGGGAGGTAGGACAAACTTAAATCATGACATTATGTATATGCAGGCATACAAGTTAAATAAAAAACAATTATTAATGTTTCTCCTGCATGGAATTGTATGTTTTATATATTTTTTAAGACATTATCTAGGGTAGGGATGGGCAACTTGGATGGTGGTGGGGCCACATAATTTATGTACTGGCCACCAGGGGGCCGCAGATTCACTTGGAACACAAACACACAAATTCCATGTGTTGTATGTAATTATTAAAGGAGAGGTGTCATGGCCATTTCCACTGATCATAATTCCATTGTTGAGGTATACTAAAATAGATTTATATTGTGCAATTTTCCAAACTCACATTGGTTTCTCATACAGCATCTCTGTAAACTACGTGTATTCACTGAATTTCACTCTGCCTTTAACGGCTCGTTGTAGCTCCAAAAGCTCCAGCCCCCACCCTCCCTGTGAGCACAGTGTGCTCTGATTGGTCGGGACGTTGTGAATCGCGCTGAGCTCCGTGGAGGTGTTGTTTCCTTGTTTAGGATACATAGCGAAACACAGCCAAACTCATCCTGAGCACACACAAACTCACAGCCGAAGTAAAAACAATAGTGGCTTGATATTGAGTAAGAAAAAGGTTGATAAACGCTGTGAGAATGGGTCTGCAGAGAGAATTTCGCCGCGATCCCAACTGTCTGTTATCAGCCTGCAGCCAGGGAGGAGAAATCAGCTGAGCTGTCTGCTCCCTGCACACAGATGTGTGTGTGAGGGAGTCCGTGGATTGGTCAATTTGGACCAATCAGCGCGGACGTAACGTAACGGCTCCGCGGACGTAACGTAACGGCTCCACGGATTGGTCCATTTTGTTCCGGGTACGGGTCATGCCGTACCCGGAAGAATCAAATGGACAATGACGTATCTCCAACGAGGCGTTTTGGGGAGGTATTTTCTGTGTTAGAGTTTTACTCGCTACAGGGTGTACTTTGAGGGTTTTGACTCTGCACACCGTTTACATGCATAAAAACCTTCATACAAGGGGACGGGTAATAACCGGAAAAGCATGACACCTCTCCTTTAACAAATATACTAAGTCTGACATCTTCATTGACATTTTCAATCTTTCAGGGAACATCCTCTAATAAGCTCACTAAACAAATATCAGTTCACAGAAATGTTATTTAATTTTTACTAGTGGCATGTTTGTGTTGAACAGGTTATTTAACAGTGGAATACAACTATTTTAAACTATTGGAAATCACGGAAAATGTGTGTGCATTGAGATTAACCATTAAGATGACATAAACATGAAGTCATGAACACTAACCCAGACATTAGTTGTCTAACTTGAGCCTAAGACACTTGGAGCCTGTCTGCATTCCCCTTATTCCACAATAAGGGGAATGTCAACACAGACACCTGTCAACCCGCACTCTGCTGTTCCTCAGCGCCGCTCCCCCTCCCTCCTGCTGAAATTATGAATGAAAAGCGTATAGTCATCATAGAAAACACGGCAGGGTCCGTGACAGTTTGTTTTCATCTGATTTCAAATAAACAAAGTCTTGGTTTTTAGAATAATAAACTCGTTTCGCCAAATTCAGATGTTAAATACAACTTTGAAGCTTGTAACGGCATCATTACAAGTGGTAACTTAACGTCACAGCAGGCATAACAACAGCCGGTGTTTCTTGTGAGTGTTTCCCCGGGAAACAAACACAATACACACAAACGCGTCACAGATTATTTTGCGGTATTTGGCTGCCGAACGAAATCATGTACACAGCTCGCGACGTAACTAGGAGTCTAGTGGACGCCCCCGGGCCACCATTTGCCCATCCCTGATCTAGGGTGT